AAGTTAATTATAGAATAAACAATAAATGCAGTAATTAGTTTGTGTAAATTAATTGAAAAATAGGTTGCCTAAAAAGGATTGATTATGTATCTAGTATAGTCAGGTGTAAACAAATCGGAAATACAGGTCCGAATGTTACACCAAAAACGATTTTGATGGGGTAAACTAGGAAGGAACTTTTTAAGAATTAAAAAGTAGAAAAAGAGAGTTTTGATATTTTTGATCCTAAAAAGATCAGTTTTAGGTCAAATTTGATGTACTATAGCTTGTTTTGAAGCCAGAGATAAGCACTACAAATTCAATTATGAGTTATCAATATGTTATTAAGCCCAGTTTGCCAGAAAGAGCAAAACTTTGGAGAGAGGACAGAGTTTTGTCCGTCTGTCCTTGTAAATTGAATATCTTGAGAACGGTAAAAGATAAAGACTTAAAACTTTACAGATATATGTAAAAACAGTAGCTGAACAACTGTTATTAATAGTTAATAGGTTGTTAACTTAATAAAATTTTGTGTAAATTGAGGAAAAGTGAAAAATATTTTAGACGAAATTTTGTGTACAAGTGATAAGCAGAAAGAGTTTGGTAGTAATTGTACAATATCTTTATTAATAATTTATTAATTTATATATTAAGTATAAAAATCTGTATATATATAATATAATATAATAAATATTATAGTACTAGGAACTGGAAACCAGTATAAGTCCGGAGCCTATAACAGCATTCAATTAATGGCCCTAACCCCTGAAAAATCTGATCATATATATCACAGATCAAAATTTTCAAGGGTGTTACAAATGGAAAATGCCGAAACTACATTTTTGATATTATCATTATAGATGCATCAAAATCGTAATTTCAGTTATCAAAGCGCATAAACATGTAAGTTCTCTGCTTCGCTCCAGACAATCATTTGGACTTAGAGAAGGAATAAGATAAAAATTTAAGTACTTAAATTTTTGGGATGCAAAAAATATATTTTCAGATATCAAAATTTAGTCCTACAGATTTTGTAGATTAGATAAAAAAGGTATGATTAAATCAAACTGGCTTTTATCTATTTCACCTTGGTCATTTTTTGTTGAGTTTTTCTATAAATAATATTATTTGGTGTATTCACAATTTGCTGTAAACACAAGTTAGCATGTTTACTACCTCTAGTAGCACCAAGTATAGAAATCAAAAAAACACCATTTTAATAATTTTAAGAGGTATTTAGATCTAATACTTTATGATTTAATATATGCTAATTTCTTTAGTAGTTAAACTATTAGTAGACTTCAATTCTCTAAGTTTTTTTTCATGTCTTTAAGCAAACCATCAAATTATGTATACAAATCAGGAAATATATTCTTGTCATGCAAATTATATTTTCAACCAGGTTTTATATCTTGAAAATGATGGCTGATTACTGATAAAGCATTCTTTAATGAAGTTTTTGAATAATGTTCACCTTTTTGAGATATTACACTACATAAAAATTGGAATACTTGAAGTTTGATTATTTCCTTGCTAAAACTTTCAAGTAATTCATTATAATTAACATCAGACCACCATTGATTCATAACTTGCATCTATCATTCAGTATTTTTGACTATATTTTCTGGAATATGTCTCTTAGCAAGTAGTCAGTAGAAGGTAAAAAATTAGATTGTTCACCTATTTTTGAGTTTAAGAAAAGATCAAAAAAAATAAATTGTCACTTATATTTATAATTTTTTATAACTAATAAATTTTGTGATCTATTAAATTTTCTATAATTAATT